TAGTCTGGCTTGGATGGCTTCCTTGGAGGGTTTGAGCCACGTAACCGAAGAGCCTAAATATTTTACTGTATCTTTAAGAGGGAACTTTGGGGATTAGGGTCCAGGATAGGGGGTGTTGGAGGCTTCGCCTAGCTGAATGCTGCATGCTCACCTTCACATGTGCGTGCATGATAATCTATTGGCTATGTCTTTGTACCTGCGGATTTGGGATACCAAGTTCCCGAAATGTACACTTGCATGTCCCAGTTTCGGGGTTCAAGCATCTAAGCTTGAGCTTTGGGATGAGGATCCAGATCAGTTTGCCGTGTTGGGCTTGGTTGCGACGGTATGCCGGTATGAACATGTATGCAGGTACACATTTGTGTTGTCGGGTATATGCGTGCACACAGAATACATTCCACTACATACCGTTGCATACCCATGTAGCCACCAGCAAGTCCCAGTGAAAGCGAAAGCTGCCAGGGTGCAAATTCTGCTCTGCAGTGAGCACATTCCTCAGGAGTAAGAAGGATCGTCGATAGCTTGACCAAAGGGTTGCTAGTTGTTGTGCCTGGGCTTAAAACAGTGTTCGCAATTCTTCAACCCTGCATCCTTCGGGTGTAGGATGAGCTTGAACACAAGGCCTCGAAGCTTGTCCATGGTGTCCCTAATCTGGAGTTGGGACTGGAACCCTTTCTGCTTGGCTCCGTCATCGGCGCTCAACTTCGACAGTAACTGATAAACGTCCCTTCTGATGGTTGCAACTCTTTAGCAATCCTACACTTGCGTCCGGCAATCAAGTTTAACACTTACGACTCTGCTCCGAAACCAAGGGTCTCCACAAAGTATTGCTGGAGGCGCTCGTTCGCCAAGTTGATGCACAACTGCTCGAAGGAGTTGCCTTTCGGCAGTCCGACATTGGTATGCATCGTCACCGGCAAAACGAATCATGCCTTATGCAACAAGACTGCGGGTGCACAAGTTGCTTGTGGCCGCAGCTTTCTGACATGAAGACGAAGCCTGATACTGCGAAAAAGCCGCAGTATGAGTCCAATATTGGCACCCATGCTCCGAAAAACGCTGCGGCCGAGAGGCGCTGAAGACGCTCGAAGCCGTAGATGTCCAGGATGCCAATCTGGCAGCGCTCGACTTCCTCCTGCAACAAGAGCGTTCCTAGCAACGTGGAGAAGAGAGAACGACAAAAACTGTCGCTATCACGATTTCAGCGTTGTCAGGTATCCTCATCATCAGCGGTATAGCCATCGCCATCGTCGTCGTCATGACTACAGTCATCACCATCATTGTCCTCGTCGTCACCATCATCATCACCATGTCCAGCAGCAGTAGCATCATCACATTGTGTATCATCATCGTCACCGTCTTCGTCATCGTCTCCATCAACGTCATCAGCACCATCATTGTCGTCAATCTTTATCACGGCCATCACCGGCACTATTCGGTAGGCCAGCCTCCTGGCCGACATGACAATGATCTCTTCTTCGGTGCTACTTTCAAGAAGTTTGCGAGTTTCTCGGCTTGGGACGATACTCGTCTCCTTGCTCCTTGCCATGTTTCCTACTCTGCTGATGTTCAAGTTTCTCACACCGGCTAAGCCTGTTCAGGTTCAGATGCTGGCAACGACGATGGTGAGGATGATAAAGCTGACGATGCTGACGACGATGTTGAGCATGATGTTGATGATGGTGCAGATGCTGCTGCTGATGGTGATGTTGATGGTGGTGATGATGATGATGATCATGGTGATGACCGCAACGACGATGACGACAAGTCAACGACCAGCAGCAGCAGCAGCAGCAGCAGCAGCACCAGCAGTACCAGGTGCTGCTGCAGGAACATGAACAAAAGGATGAAGAGCATGACTGAGGGGCCAGTCTGACCCTTCTGCCTCTCCGGTAGCAGGCTTTCGCAGCTCGGAAAACGAACCTCAAGGGGGCGACTTCTCTGTACGGCTTACGGCTTCGCTAGGCAGGAGGCAAGAAAAGCTGGGCGGCGTCTGGGCTTCGCCTTCGTGTGACTCCAAAACCGAGTATCGGTAGTTCTCAGTTTGTCCTATGTTGCGCAAAGAACTCGCAAGGCTTTCTGTCGTGCCGAAATAACGTAACAAGACTGCAAGCACAACGGAAAGTGCAGACCCTAGTTTGGCTTCCTGCAAGCCTCATACTGTAGATTGCGGGAGAGGACCTTGAGGTGCTAATTCACTAAAAGCCTCCAGTGATGTTGGGATGCTGCGGTCGATAAGGCTCGGGCCTGCGTGCTGTACACGAAACTGCCGCGCTCAGCACACTGAAGCCAGAAGCCTACACCGAAAGGCCCTGCTGCTGAGCCGGGTGCCATTGATGCGGGCCACGAGGCGCTCAAACAGCCGTTTGTACAGCGCCTCTCGGAAACGCTTCATTCCGAGCTACAGGGATGTATAGAGCTCAAGGTTCGGAGGGCAGGAAACTTCGGCTTGGAGCACAGGTCTCGGAGTCTTTTGAAGTGGTCTCGCCCTAAACCCAATCCCCTGAATCTAAACGACTACCCTTCAGCCCCTCGCTGACGGTCGAAAGGCCCCGCCTTGATGAGGCTGAACAGGGCATGGCGGAATTGAAGAGTTGTTCGAGGGACCTGCCACCAGACACAAAGCAGACCCGTGTAGGGTTCAGGCATTTTCTCGGAAGGCAACCCGAGCCGTGGAAATCTCCACGCGCAAAAGCAAGAAACAGCAACATGGGCTTGTTGCAAAAGCCCCCAAAATAATTGAGATATCCTCACTCCCACGAGGGTATCATCGAAAAATTCCCCAATTGCAACCTAACCACATTGGCAAGTATGCGTGCGCACACTTGCTCTCTACACGCACCTCTACATTCTACACTTTATATGATACCCAGTAACCAGCACAATCCTTGAGGTGTCACAACATGCCACCGCCCTAGACTTCTCCTGCATGACCTTTTTCAAGCCGACCTCAGAATCCGAACCCGTCCAAGCAGTGGCCTAGCCTAGCTCGCAAAGCGCACTCTTCGGGTTTAGGGTTTAGGGTTGCAAGCAACCATGGTGCAAACGCTTTCGAAGCCTACTTCGGTGCAGCTGGAAAGCAAGACGTCGGCAGAAAATTTCATGCCCCGGACTAGACTCTTCTTAGGGGTGGTTCTTGAATGCTGAAGCTGGGATCACAAGCCCCAAATCCTGTAAGCAACAAATTTACACATTGCCTTCTGCATGTTGATTTGATTCTCTGCTATTCAGCGGAAGCTCGGCCTCATGGATCGACTCCCGACCAACACGGGTGATTTTCACCTGCAGAACATTGCTTTTTTGGTGGGGAGGGTGCTCAAAGTTATTGGGTTGTCGATGGGGCATTTGATGGTTATGCTACGGGCGTTGACGGGTTGCTTTAGAGATTTATAGGATGGTACAATTTTCCTAAATTACAATTAGGGGTCCTCTGCCGTTGATTCGTAAACTACGGATCCTACGAGTCTGTTGATATGTAAGGCCACCATGTTTTGAAGCAGCCTATTTTCTGAAGCTCGCACATGGCACAAGGCTTCGACTAGGAGCAGGGGAGCAGGGCACGTGGAGCGGCCACGGGCGTAATTAAACTCCAGGCTCCAAAACCAAACCCTGAACCCTTTATCCTACAGTTTTTGGGAGATTTTGGGGCCCGGTGGCTTGAGATGGGTTGACGGTTTAGTTTTTCTGGCTCGGGCCTTCGACGAAGACTTCACTTCGGCTTCAAGAATAGCGAGCCATGGAGCTCCCGGGTTTATGAGCAAGAACGAGCCTCTGCCGCAGAACTTCCCACTCCCCACTCCCTACTCCCAGAACTTGAATCCCTGAACCGACACATACCATTCAAATCATTCAAAAACGAGGGCAGGTCGAAAGCTGTATTCTCCACAGCTCTAAATCTTGCGCAGTGGCACCACCAGCACCTACTGGTGCAAGTATTGGTACTACTACGGTTGATGATATCAATCCTGCATTACCCGAAGGACCCTAAACTTTCCTAAACTATGGGAATTATGGTCTATTCCATATACTATGATGGGATTTCTACCATCAGCCGTAGGTAGCACTGGCCGGTTGATACTCTCCCGGCTCGCCTTGCGCCGGCGCAAGGCGCTGCCGAGCTCGGAAGAGTCAATGCCGAGCAGCTCGGCCGCCTGGGCGGAGGGATTGAAATCTGAGGGAAGAGGGTTTAGGGTTTAGGTGATTTAGGGTTTAGGGTTTAGGGGTTGAAGATTTAGGGTTGAAGGTTGATCTCAAAGAGAGGGGGTTGAACATTTCAGGATATTTGGGCCTCGGTTTTGGGTTTGCAGAGCGAAGCATGCCAGAGGCCTTCAATGCCCACGCGCCCTCTGCTGAGTTCTTAAGCTGTTTCAAGCAACTTCCGGGCTTGATTCCGAACCTCAGCTGTAGAAGCCCGGCCTTCTGCAATGTCTCTTCGTCGAGCTGGATGGTGGCACTTTCGTCATCTGCGGAAAGACTTTCTGGGACTGCTAGGAGGACTGTTTTCAGGACTGCAGCATCTGCTGAGCTTGGATGCTCGGTTGAGGCTTCCTCAACCCCCGCTCCCACCTCTGATCCGATGCTCGAAAGATTCTTGCGAAAGGACACCCTCCCAAGGCCCAAGGTCTGTCTTCCCCGTACTGGGCGCACCGTCGTCCCTCTCGGCCCCGGATAAGTCACCCAAGTGGACCAGGCCAGCAAGCACCTCAGCAGGGTACACTTGCTCGGGTTTTGTCCCGTCAAAGCTTTATCGGAGCGGAAATCTCTCGAAGGAGTCTGCGGGAATAATAATGAATTCATGGGGTGGCTGGTGGAAGAACGAGGATTCTGGACACTGGCAATCCTGACCCCGCGCGTGGCAAAAGGAAAAGATACGCTGTACTTCGTGCGGTACCTAACATGGACGAGGATGGGAACCTCGATTTCTTGCTTGCAGCACTGCAATGAACCCTGAAGCCAAAACCCCAAGTCCAACAAACCCTGAATCCTAAAGCCAAGTCCCTCAAACCCAAAAGCCGCACCTGGAAGGTCAGGTCGATATCCTCCTCACTGAAGCCGACATCGCGGAGAGCAACACAGAGCCGGTTGAAGTTGCGGAGGTCGAGATCCTCCGGTGCTGGAAAAGTTCACTCGGTAGTTCAGATAGCCACGGCCTTATAGAGTCGATTCTTTTTCTGTTGACACCCACCCATACTGACTGAGTTCTTTGCATCCATTTAGGACACGTGTGTGTAGAGGAGAGCGACAACGCGAGAAAGAAGGCCCCGGCCCCTTCGCGCACGGGCCACAAAGATCAGAAATACTGTTCTTGCGTCATCTGCAGCGCAGGAAACACTCCTCCTAAGTACACTCAACAACCCTGCGACCCATAGAACCAAAACACCAAACCCCAGCTGTAGACTCGACCACCACAAAGGCCCCGACCACACCGGAAGCCCTAATACCCTCAAAGTTTAGGGCTTCCGGTGGCTCCTTGAACTGAGCATGGAATCGCTTCTCCTCGCTCGTCTCCTCCTCTGCACAGGAACTTTGGGGGTTCGGGGCACCTTACAGCATCTTTGTAGGTCTCAAACTCCCAAGTCTGCTCTGCAAGGCTAGGTGGGATTGAGGGCTTAGGCGGCTAGAGGGCATGGAGATGACAGAGTTTGAGGGCTTATGGGCTCATCCCGGAACCCCCAAAGCCAGAAAAAGCCAGAAGGACAACCTGATCGAGGGGACGAGTTAGACTAGAGGGTGCAAAAGCATGTTCCACCTTAGGCATTTATGCATTAACTACATGCATATATATATATACATACATATGTGGAGCTTTCAGTGGAGGCGTGACATCATTCAAGTCTTTACAGGCTTCCGACAATGAGCCATAAATCGCAGAGACTTCGTCTTGGAGCGAGTCCTGCGTGGCTGATGCCTGGCCCTCGTTCGCCAATAACAAGTACAACTTCCTCGGTCTGCGAGGGGCTTCCTTCAGTTTTGGGAAAGCTTCAGACTTGGGTCATGGATGCTGTTTGAGATGTTTGGAACACCACCTAGCTGCGTCGAAACCTTCAAGTAGGATTGCAGATCAGGGGTAAGTTCCAAATTGTCCGGATTTGGAAACGACGCGTATAAGGGTCCGCGATACCACCAAACCCTGGACCCTAAAGCCAAACCCCGCCCGTCTATGTCGCGAAACCTGAAGCAAAGCTGCTGAGAATGCAGAATTACTCATAAGACACGTCTCGCTCTGTCCAAGTGCAGCTTCTTCAGCTTCTCATCGGGTAAACCACTAAGCATCTCCTCACAGGGCTTCAGCTTTAGGCTGACGACCTTCAAAGTGTTCGGTAAGCTTGTTAGGCGGTGGTAGCTGCTTTTTCGTCATTTGCGAGTTGTCGACTCTGAGAGCAGCGTACACCGTTGTCAACATGGGTGTGGAGAAGGCATCCCCGATCGCTACGAAGCAGACCGAAGCGAGTAGCATAGAGCTTTAAACCCATGCAGATTGTAATGCAGTCGAGGCACGTAGAAGCAGTGGTACGTCCTTTCGCGCTTCGCATGCACGACGACCCGAGAGCTTTCCAAGAGGTATGTGGTAACCTGCTTCCGCAGACGCATGAAGAAGCAGGAAGGAAAGCATCTAAAGAAACAGAGCCTCCCTTTTGCGGCTGCGTGGCGCTGGCATCGCACAATGTGCCATCCTCATCGAAGAAGATGCCTCGGCCACAAACATGGACAAGACGTGGAACCCCTGCAGGTCAGATCAATGCATGGTCTCTGTCTCGCTCGTCCGGGGTGCTGTTGTACTTTCCGAAGCGCGAGGAATTGTTGTTCCTGGAAGGCAGGGTGCTTGGCTGACGTGGCGGTCCGGCATCTCAACATGTGAAGGCCAAAGTCCCGCCCTGACCGCAACTTCCTGGATCACCCTGAACTCCAAGCCCCGAACCCTGCAGTCCTCATGGTAACCGCATTTCCAAATGACTCCAGGATCGGCTGTGCTTGCAGCACTCGCCTCTGGATCTGGGCCTCGAAACCGGCGCTCTTAGTGCGAGCTTTCCGCTGTGCTGAGAACCCTGGCCCGGCCAGCTATGCTACCCCTACTGAATCTACTGAATCGACTGCAGTATATGTTTTATCCACTTTCGACAAGATGCAACCACGAAGCCTCAAACCTGGAATCTGCAGCACAGCCGATCGTATCGGATTCGACAAAGACGCGTGCCACCGAGGGCTATCTTAAATAGCACCGATGGAGTAGCCCAAAGCTGCGGCTTGATCCATCGCACTTATCGACAGATGCGCCAGTATCTCGCTGGACATCGCTGGACAATGCTGGACATACACCCTGCAGAATCTTACCTCGATCTTCTCAGAATTCAGATCGCCCAGTCGCAGTCATTTGGTTGGTTGACCCGGAGACGTAGCCCAAGTACTCCATGACCTTGGAAGCAAAAAAGAAAGTGGCCTTGAAAGATGCAGGCCAGGCAAGGAGAGGGCCCTCCGCGATGCTCTGCAGATTGTTGCAAGCTACCCGGATCCGGAGCCCAAACCCACCTTCCCTCGAGCCGCGTTGCAATTTTTGCCGTCTCGGTCTTTCCAGCACCGCTTTCTCCAGAGATAATGAAGCCTTGGTTCTTGCGATCTCGTACCTGGCCGCATATTTCGCTTCGCGGAAATGTGCTGCCGGTGGGCAATCCCACAGTGAGTGGAATCAAGCCCCCATTATCGCATGTAAAACCTGAAACGATCATGCCAGCACCCTCACCATTGTGCTGGAAAGCAGGTGATCACAACAAGAAACCTTCAACCCCAGCCCCAGCATGCCGGTGGCACCAGGGCCCTGTAGGCTGTATCTGCGATTGCGTAGGGATGCGGTGGCAGTGCTCCGATGTGCTTCCCACGGTATCCTGGGACCGCAGAAATCGAATCTTGGCACAACGATCCGAATCGTGTGCGAAACAGGGGGTCCCGAACGGAACAGTAACATTCCCCAAGTCTACGTAGCTTCACAGAACTTCCAAGAGAGGCAATCGGACTTCCGGATCACGGAAGCGAAAGGAAGCAGAGAACCAGAGCACAATTTTCCTTACTGGCTGAATTGTCGGCACGTCGCGGGCGCACTGTGCCTCGCCATACAACCTCGCAGAAAGTAGAAGCAGCACACAGAGAGAGATTGTTGTCGCAGTCGCATGGCTCTGGGCTTTAGGGGTTGGGAAAGAAATCGCAGTCCTTTGGGTGCTGTGCGGCTGCAACCCGTCAAGCCTCAAATCTGGGGGCAGGACCCGGTCACATCATGGTACGGGTTCACTGCAAGGAGCACCTTAGGCAAAGCATTGTGGAGACAGAAGGTGTGGGATCAGTCGTCGGGTGCGGCACGCTGGCTGTGTAGGTGTAGATCTCATCAGCCTCTCAGGAAAGTCATAACCCGGCTCTTCTTTCCTGATCCTAGCCCTGCAGCACATTGTGGAGGCACTCGCCTCATGTCGTGCTCGCAGATTTTCCAGGATCGTCGCATCGTTCAGGTGCACCAAGGCGGTGTTGTCTTGGCCTGATGGCGAGTTTACAGGCTTTCGGGGTGGACATGCACTTTGAACCTGTCTGGGAAGGACTTGCTGGGAAAACCTTACGGCCGGCTTGGAGCCGTGTACGAGTTTCTTTACAGATGTCGAGGTAAGGTGGAGTCGACGCTGGAGCTCTTCCTGTGTACCTCTAGTTCGTTTGGAGACACTTAGGCCATGCAGAGCTTGATGGAAAGCGCATGGAAACCAGAAAGATAGGCCAAGTAGGGGGAGTCCTGACCAAATCTGCCCTTTTTGGTGAATATAGATCGAACACCAAAGTCCTGTGCACCCGGGTCCCTGGCAGGTCGCGCCATCATCACGAATAAACCTGCGCGGATGGGAGGATGAAAGGCTTGAGCCGCACTGCATGTGAATTGCACTATGCCAAGCAACGCTGAACCCAACATAAACATTATTTGCAGCTTGGCAGGTTTCAATACTCTTCCGTTCTTTCATTCCAGGCTTTGAAAATTGGGATGGGGCTTGCAAGGTCCGCCTCGGCCAGAAAAGGCTCTCATAATGGGTTGAGGTTGTTCCTCTGACCCGACCTGATTCTACCAACTCTTGAGACCCAGTAAAGGTCCAACAGACTGCATAAGCAAAAGGATCTCAGAGGCCTTGGTACATAGGTATGCCTATGTGGGCCTTCCGGGCCTTACTTACTGCGCGCCTCCATGACAGACCTGAAACCTAACTCCGCTCAACTCCAAGAGATAGAGATCACAAGACCCATAGCGCTAATGAGACGAAGCCGAAGAAGAATATGGAGAACCACTCTTAAGACTGTATAACAACAAGTCAGCAGTAGCTCTGTTAATACTGCTAACCAGTTCAAGCGGAACCCAAACAAGCCTGCACCCACTGCAAGATCCCCTAAACCCACAGTCAACGCCTCTCTGAGAATGTAGGGTCGTACAGGCCTCCGGCGTAGGTTCGATGCTGGGACGCGCTGCTGCGCCTTACCGACCTTGACGACCTCACTGGGCAAGGAAGGCAACACCTCTAGCAAAAAAAAGCAAAACTTCAAACCCGGGACCCAAAGCCAGAAACCTGAAAGCCTTAATCCTGCAATCATCCCAATTCGTCTTTCAAGCTTACGCGTCTTCAAGGAGCCTAGGCCTAGGCGTCAGGGGCAGTGACGGCTCCGAATTCAAGACCGCTTCGACTGGGATTGAAGCGTGGCGAGGTGCCCAAGCCAGAGCATCTTAACATACCCAAGAACCCATGACCCAAAGCCCAACCGAACCTCAAAACCCCAGTCCTCAATGCTTGGTCTGTCGCATCTCCGTCAAACGCCCAAACTTCCTAAACCGCAAGCCCAAAACCCGAAAACGAAAACCCTTTCAGCGGCCGACCAGATCGCCAGACTCCGGTGCTTCGCAAACAACGCCCGACAAGAAGGGTCCCTCCTTTCCAGATCGAAGCTTCGGAGCTGCGGGCGCTTCGGCTGCCCTGAGGGTCCGAAGTTTCCAATAGTCAGGGGCTCGGCTTGCAAGGGTTAGGGTTTGGTGCTTGCCCTGAAGTGCCACGGCGCCTAAGAATTGGGCACACGGTTCTGGAATAGCAGGTTATTAGGCACGTGTTATGGCGAGTGTGTGTGTGTGTGCCTTTGCGTACTTATATATACATATGTGTATATATATATACACACATATGTAAATATGTAAATATATAAGGACATTTCTGGTGCTTCGACCCTCAGGAAAGAATTTTTTCCAGCTGCGCTTCAGGTTTCCTTGCGCAAGAGCTCGTGTTCTGGAGCGGGTATCGGCTCTTGGACGCCATGGGATTATGATGGGGAGCCTTGGTCGAGCCCGGGGCTCAGAAGCTGAAAGCTTGGCAGGAAGCTCGTAGAGTCCTGCGGTCTCGGATTTGGGAGCGCTATGAGCCTTTGATTCGGAGGTTGCCTTCTACCCATTGAATTTCTCACACGACCCCAGAGCCGAATCCGGGCTCGCCATCCTTCTGGCTACAGAGTCGGTGTTCGATCCGTCACCCCAAAACGGAAGCGCTAAACCTCGCGCAAGATCGACGAGGCTCCTCTGCTTTGCCTTCCGGGCATGGCAGGAAGACCAGGTCGTTCACCTGGGACATGGCATTTCTTCAAATTTCCCTTGCCTTCGCCATGGTCATGGCAGTGGCAGTAGCCACTCCAAAACCTCAAAAAATCTACAACCCTTCAGGATCCCAAACCACCGAAACCCCCCGCTGCTTCGGGCCTTGAACTGCGCACTCGGCATGCTGGCCTTGGCTCCAGAAGAGGTGAGGGGTTCGGCGGTTCTTAGCGCCTGCGGCCTTTCGAGACGGTCTTTGGTGAACGCAGGATACACGTTTCGTGAATCGGTCTACAGACGGCTGAAGGTTGTAGTGGTTTCGGCGGGACCCTTGGCGGCGGTAAGCAAGTGACCGTCCAAAGCTTTGACGATTTGAGCCTTGTGGACCTCGTGCTGGGGGCCTTGGGGCTTCTCAGAGATTGAGGGGCTGCTTGCAGTGTGTGATGTTCTAGCCCTACTCTTATAGGGATAGAACTGTAAAGCAAAGTGGAAACAAAGAAAGAAACAAAATGACATGATCCCTGTCGCTACGTGTCAACAGTGCCTACACTTGTCAATGCTGCAGGCCGTTCCAGATTTTCGGCCATCTTCGACACTGGAGCAAAATGATTGCCTACAGAACTGCGAACCCGGAAAGAAATACCGATATGCAGAAGATCCCAGAAACAGATACGTGTCCACTGCCTGCATCCCAGGCTCACTTGTCTGGGCGTGCCTTGGCCTCTACTTGATTCTGCCCTCTTGAGCCAACCGCGTTAAGAAAATGCCACACGTGACATAGGGGATTCTATGACCCGTGACATCCCATGACTACAACGTACTACCCAAGCTGAATTCTATGGAGGCCTGAGTCAAATCCTGAAAAATGAAGAACACCACTGCTGGTGGTATAAATCCTGCATTACCTGAAGGACCCTAAGCTATGGTAATTATGATACATTCCTTACTATGGGTATTGCAGGATTTATATCATCAACCGAAGTAGACCTGAGAACCCCAAATTGTGGATTCCTTTCGGGATCCCAAAACAAAAACAAGCAGGGCCTGCATCAGAGGCCTGAGGTCAGGCAACCCGTCCCTCACCGAAAGATAGAATCACAAGTCTGTTGTCGAATCCGCTGCTTGCACCTCCTCAGCATGTAGCAGTACTACTCCTCGGATGGCACAAACATCGGAGATGCAGATCACACAGGCAGAAGCAATGCCAGTGCTACAGCGACCTCTGATGCCGAGAGTGGTGCATGATGTGAACTTCTCTGTAAATGTACAAGTGTATATGAAGAGTATAGAGACATGCCTGCACAAACGTACGTACATACATAGATACATACATACATACACGCATACCTACATATACGTATGTATGTATAATTACAGGTGTAAGTTACAGCTTAATTATGCTTATAGTCATAGTAGTTATGTCGATATATTGGTTTGTCTACTTGTGTGTGTGTATACTTGTTGCATATGTCTTTATGGCTTTATTTACACATACTAATTCTAGAGATAGAGAGATGTGCCATTCCAGCTGCAGCCTGTGATCATAAGGCCCGGAGAGTCGACCCTCGGAGTCTGCGAGAAGGTCCCTGGATTTCACCATCTCGGGCCTAGGGCCTAGGGCTAACAGGGTTTCGTTAGGCTGTTAGGCTTTCAGGACTTTCGGACACTGAGGGTGGACTCCCCTCTCCCCCCCTTCCAGCGCCGTCTGTCGCGCTGGCCTGGCTGGCCCAGCCACTCATAAAGAAAAAACTTCCCGCTTGCATGGTCATTAATTGGGTGAAAACGAAGCACTCGAAGTCGGTGCAAGCAGCATGTAGCATTTCGCACGCTGCAGAAAGTTGACACAGCACAACAGCCGAAGGGTCCGCGCTGGACTTCAAAGGGCATTACATGAACTACGCAGACATGCGCCGCATGCGGCTTTTTTGATTTGTGCTGTTCAATATGTTCAACGAAACAGCGTCGCGAGAGAGCTGACGTCCAGGAGCATTCAGAGCGCCAGGTTACCTGATCTTGCTAGCTTCGACTATCCCGATCCTCTCCTCAATGGTACATCATGTAGCAAAGAAGAACAAGCCCGGTTCAAAGGTAGCAGATGTAGTGGCCGCCACAAATGACAGCTCGACGAAACTGCGAATGTTATCCAGGCAAACGGGATTGAGGGTACTTAAGAAGTGCAATAGAGTGAATGGTCTCTTAATCGAGAGATCCCTGGAGCTCGAACCCAACCCTGGGTCTCTAGATAAGTTAGCCACTTAATGGCTGGAGTCCTCTGCCAAACGTCAAAACGTGAAGGTAAATATGTCTCATCAATGCACAGCGGTGTACATAAGCATGCACAACTTTGCGATACCTGTCTGAATGTTTTCGTGTGCCAAAAATGAATTGTTAGGGCTACACGAAAAATGCGATCATCTACGTTACATGCCATTTGGCAGACCGGATTGGCAGGGGCACGGCAACCACGATAAACCAGATGATACCGAAGTCGGCATTGCAAGCAATGCACCCCTTAACCTTGAACTTAAACAACGTGAACTCTGATTTGAAATGGTGCAGGCCAAGGTGCAAGAAGTCGGTCTCTGCGATCTGTCGCTCAATGTCCTGCCGGAACTAAACTCGAAGGAAGCTTTGTCTCAGTGCTGCTGTCTTAGGGCTTTGGGGCTGTAGGCTTAGAGGTTCGTGCGACTGTAGCTCTGTTTCACCAGTGTTCCTTCGCGGTCTGAACACGTTGCGCAAGGTAATGAGACACTGCATCCTGCAACCCCGAAGAGCTACACGGGCCAACAGCACCAGGAATCCCGAGGAACGGCATCTCAAATGATGTAAACCCTCCAAATACACTACCCCGTTTCCAGTTCCCTTTTCCTGTATGAGCATCTGACGCTGCTGATGCCACCACTCCCGGCTGCACTGCATGTGTTGGCGCGGACTCGAATCGTTTTCCTCTGACCTTGCTGGATCCCGGCAATTTAAGAACAACCCCCTAAAGCCTGAAACCCGAGCTTTGCCGCTGACGCCGCTGTCAGTTCCCTGTCATCTGCTTGGATGCTAAAGAGCCAGAGTCCAATAAGAGCAGACCCGGCTCTGGGACAGGGCAGAAAGCGGTTTCATGGGCGTTGGAGCTGCATCCAGTACAAGAAGGTATGCTCTCGTACTCTGGGTTTAGGGATCTCTTCGCCACAGCCGCCAGGGCTGCCGGTCCGTTGTAGTGTTGGCGGAGGGGCGAAGGGATGGAGGGCTGGAGGGCTGGATGGATGGATGGATGGATTGATGATCGATGGATGGATGGATGGCTGGATGGACGGAGGGATGGAGGGAGGGAGGGAGGGAGGGAGGGAGGGAGGGAGGGAAGGAGGGAGGGAAGGAGG